ATTCAAATAGCAAAGGGTAGGTGAATTGATCAAACTGTGGCTTAAATTAGATATTACACATCTGTGATGAATTGTGGAATAGTGGGGCTCAATTATTAGCACACTCTTTCCAATTGAGTCACCTCCAAAATTATAGTTATGCAGGATTTTACAGCATGTAATAGTCCATTCTGTCTGATGTTGCTGTTGCTTATGCTCTAATGAGTCATCTTTCAACTTTGTTAATCTCACCCAATCACCATACCTGTCTATTTTGAATCCCTTGTGTTTATCCAGCTTCGCTTAAGAGTATCTATGCTGTTTATCTCAACCACTCCTGATTCCAGTGAATTCCATGTTCTCACCCCTCCAAACAGAGGTTGCTCCTGAATTATTGTTGTTATAATATGTTAGTGAATATATTAATAATGATCTTGAATTTTTGGCCCAGAATTTTAGACTAATTTACTGCAGTTACATTAGTTATGACGAAGATTCACCAGGAAAAAGACCCAAAAAGGCATCAATGTGTAACAGTGCAGTTGCTGAAGCCCTTGCAAAAAGCACCAAAAATGTCAATGATTTTGTAATAAATGTGTGGATTTTCCATGGTTTTACCCACACAAAGCCAGTGTTAAAATATATATTCTATTGCTGATGCCGTAGGCGCAGGAGTGAGGATATGAAGCTTCTGATTTTCCACTTATGTCATCTACATATTTGGACTTGGATGTCCAAGTATGAAGTGTGTGATTTGCGAGCAAACCTTAACACTAATTTCCTATGATAACTGAACACAGCATCATCAAATCATAGATTAGCCCTAAAAAATTATTTATAGTATTTACCCTATTTTTAATTGCACTAACAGTGAATAGAAACTCATCTCATCTCCTATACATTCTTCTCCCTTTAATAACATTCGAAACACTTTTTCTGAAACTACCACTATAACAAATCACACACACAGAATTTTGCCTTCCAACATTATCCTGACTTTGTAAATGGACTTAACTGGAATTATCCTAGAATCAGTGTATTCTGAGGGCATGCTTCACCAAAGAAGATGATCTAGAGTTGCATGATTGTTTTTATAACTTCACGCTTCTCCATTGGAGTGTTGTGAAGTAATACGTAAAGTCTTTTTTCTATGTTCTTAAGTTGTATGTGTATATATATTAACTTGCAGGCTAATTAACTGTTTGACAGTTCTTTATAAAGCCTTTAACCATCTCAGTGCCAACCATTAGAGTAGTTAGGCATATACAGTGTTTAATGTGCTCCCAGAATCCATACTATTCAGGAGTTCAGATTGCATCCACTAGATACAAGCATTTGGCTGGATGCCACCCAGAATTCAGAGCCAAAGGTCTGATTCCCAGTCTTTGTCACTGGGACAGTCTAAAATCTGGCATGATCAAAGGTAGTCAGGCTACCCTAAGCAAAAAGCTCATTCTCACAGCATTGGTTCAGATAACTAGACACGTTAGGCAGCATGCTGGAAAACAGTCCCAGCAAAATTGTGTGCTACACAGCTTGAAATACAACAAAGGAGTCAATATGGACAATGAACACAGCTTAGGGTGCAACATATAGGAATTTATGATATGGCTGCTGAATTACTTTTGCCCATTGAGCGAGCCCCTGATTAGGCTTTATTGAGTAAAAGTTCTTCTGAATTCCCTTTCTTGATCTTCAATTTTCCTTCAACACTTTCATGACCTCTTGAACTGGCAAAAATATGTTTCCTGTCTTATGCTAACAGTCTGCCCAGAACCACTGGAGCACTGTTTGGACACAGCTTGGCTAACATGCTGTTAATTTTTATTTCACTGAATAAGTTTGGTATCTTCTGCTACTTTTTGCTCCCCTTTCCCCGATCAACAATGCATGACCCATATACTGTACAATTTAATGTTTCTAACAAGTAGCTGACTGCTGTTTGTCTCTGACAGGCTGCTGAGATTGAAGTGGCCGACTGGCAGTGTGTAGTGGCTTGGAGTGGTTCTCCTGCAGGCTGCTACTTTGGTAGCTATAATCTGGTTGTGCTTTGTTTCTTGCTTTGCAGACATTGGAGGGGTGGAGGAAAAGTCTGAATGTGCTGTCATTCTGAATGGCAGTGGCTGCTGTTGAGTACTGTCATGTTATATTCACTGATCTATGTGATACAAGACTTAATAGCAAGAAGAAGATTCTATCAAATGCACGTTCATAGATGCTGTTCTTTTCCCTGCAGCCTTCAGACTATTCAAATCCATACTGATTGTACCATCTGTTTTGTAACTTATTCTGTCTCAGAAATGTAGACCTTTTTACTTTTGTCTCGGTATCTTGCCATTTGGTGTCAACTTGTCACTATTTCCTCATTCTTGAGGCATGGAACACATCAAGAGACTTTAATGGAAAATTTCAGAGGCAAGGTTGAGTTGTTGGAGGGAGTGTACTCAAGTGGATTGAAAGTCGTCTTCGGTCCCAAGGGACTGGCTAAGAAAAATTATTGATTTACCTCATCTTGCACATCAGTGTTAGTTTATTTTAATGTGCAGGCAATCTTAGATCTTCACCTAGGTTTCTCAATCAAAAGAAAAGCATTGTTATAGGTCCTACAATGTCAATGTTGTGTTTGTTTTTGATGTGTGCAGTTGCACAGCACATAATTAGGTAAACTAATACAGGCACACCCTGGATTACGAAGAGGTATTGATCCTGAGTATATCTGTCAGCTGATTTGTAAGCTGTTCGGAATTCGGAACACAGTACAGTAAAAATATCTGTTTATAAGTACGAGTGAGCATTTGCATTTCAAATCCTTAAAATTATTAAGAATGATCCTCTTTGCGAGTACAAACTTTTGTAATTTGGACATTCATAAATTGGGAAACCCCTATAGAATGTTTTGTTGTAAGGGGAATTGAGTGTAAGAGTAGGGAGAGTATGCTTCAGTTATGCAGGGCATTGGTGAGGCTGCATCTGAAGAGCTGCGTACAGGTACTGGTTACTATACTTACAGAAGGATGTCAATGCACTGGAAGCAGTTCAGAGAAGATTTACTAGACTAATACCTGGGATGAGCAGATTGCCTTATGAGGAAAGGCTAGACAGGCTTAGGCCTGTATCCACTGGAGTTTAGAAGAGTCAGAGGTAACTTGTGGGAGAATCTGGGATTTACAGTTTAAAAATAAGAGGTTACCAATTTAAGATAGAGATCTAGAAAGATTTTTCTATCAGAACTTTTCTCTCGGAGTTGTGAGTCTTTGACTTCTCTTCCTCAAAAGGCAGTGGATGGAGAATCTTTAAATATTTTTAAGGCAGAGGTAGACAAATTCTTGATTACCAAGGGGTGAAAAATTATTGGGGATCTGCAGGAATGTTAGCCATGATCTTATAGAACAACAGAGTAGGTTTGAAGGGCTGAGTGGCTACTTTTGTTCCTTGTTCGTATGGTCTGCGTAAATGTTTACAACATTGCTAATGTTTTACCTTGTGATTCCCAGCAGTTTGAAATAAAGACAGTTTTAGACTTAAATGCTGGAGCTTTATCAAATGTATTTCTTAGATTACACAGTGTGCTGTTGACATATATTGTTAGTTTGATACAGAAACTGTAGTAAATTAATAAGAGATATGGCTCTCTAGGTACACTGGTGATGAATACAGTGTACCTAGAGAGCCATATCTCTTATTAATTTATATGTATGAAAACATTGTTCCTAAATCATATTGGATTAATATAGCAATATAGCAGCTGGTCTCAGGGACAGAAATTATCAAATGTACTTTGCAAATCTGTAATCTAGGTCTGATTAATGGGCTATTACCACATACTATTATCCCTTTCCCCAGGGCCATACTGTCTCTTCTGGAGGAAGAACGGCTTCAGATTCTGTAACGAGGTTTAACTTTGTATGATGGAGGATGATAATCAGGCAACTGTCCTCCAACTTTTGCAGGGTGCTCAGCCAGCAGTTATTTGACAAGGAACCAAAACCAGACTAGTCTAGTTGACATCCTGAACATTGACCTTTAATGCGCTGAGAACTGCAGGCTCCCCTTTTAATATCAACTATCCAACAGACGATGCCTGAAAGTGTTCCAAACCTATGTCAGCAAAACTATGATGGACAGCAGATTGAATTTCAGCACATTCTCGGTAACCAACAGTGAGAACAGCTTTAAACAAGTTTTCATGTTGTTCACATTAACCTGTTTCCTGGTCCATTTTTGACATTTTCAGAAGTCCCTTGAAAGAATACTTAGCAGGAATCCTTCACACCATTCAGGCCTGTGAACGTCTGCATTACTTTTTATGTCAAAGTATGGTTGAGGCTCAGAAGGAGGCCATTCAGCCCATCACGTCAGTGCTTGGAGCAGTTCAACTAGTGCCACTCTCACACTTCTGCTTCTCTCCCTGCACGTTCTTCCAATTCAGACAATAATCCAATTCCTTGACTGAACCTTTTTCTTGCATAGTCTATTTCAGATCCTAGTCATGTGCTGCTTAAAATAATATTTTTGTTCATGTCCCATGTTCCCTCTGGTTCTCAATCTTTCCAAAATGAGAATGGTGTCTCCATATCTACACTGTCCAGACCCCTCATGATTTTGGGCACATTTATCAAATCTCCTCTTGACCTTCTCTGAGGAGTACAGTCCTAACCTCTCCAAATTGTAGCCAAAGTTCCTAATGCTAATCCTTGGAATTAGTCTCAAGGATATTTTCTACACTCTCTCGTTTGCCTTCACATCATTACTAAAATGCAGTGGCAAGAATGGGATACAATATTCCAGTTGAGGCCTAACTGATGCATCATACATGTTCAACATAATATCCGTACTTTTGTAATCTGTATCCTTATTAACAAAGCACAAATTGCTGAATGCTTTAATAACTGTTTCCCAACCTGTCATGGCACCATGATGATTTGTACATGCATACACCCAGATCCCTGTGCACTCATTTTCTCTTTTATGTTATCACATACTATATCAGTAATATTTTATTGTTTTGATTTTTTTTTCAGTATACTGAGGAACAGGCCAGAAAGCTAGGCCTGGTTGGCTGGGTAAAGAACACAGCGGGAGGTACAGTGACTGGACAAGTGCAAGGATCAGTTGAAAATGTCAACTTTATGTGAGTAGTACAAGGTGGAAATGTTGGTGTGTTCAGTATGCATCTTTTAAGATTTGAATTTTGTAGCATCATTACTGACAATGGATTACTGTATATGTAGTCCGAAGAACAATCTTACTGTTGGTGAATAGTGAGTGAAAAATATGGTCCATGCAATGATAGTAATGTTATGCTTCACTAAGAGCTGAGCGGAATATTCCCCTCCCAAAAAGCAGAGGGGAAATTGGGAGGCAGATAATTGGGCGAGTTAGAGTCGGGGACATTCCCATCCCCTTTCTGCCATCTCAGAAATTAAGTTCTGGGTGGAGTATTTTCTATTCAACTTTCTTAAAGTTGATTACGTGCTTCTGGAGCATGGGGGACTTGAACCCAGGCCTCCTGGCTCAGAGGTTGGGACACTAACAATAGCTCCAGTGTTCTGGATGGGAAAATCTATGGTCAACCTTTCTCACCTGCCAATATATCAAAGACCATTTCAGGGTCTCATCCCAACTTGGCTGTAATTAGTACAGCTTCAAGCAGAATGAAAAAGAACCAGTTTACCTGACTAGTAAACCTAGTGTGTGTGGGCTTTTATCTTGTAGGGATGTGGTGGTCTCCATTCTGTACTTACTTGAGCAAGTTAGCCTCCCTGCCAGTGTTTCAAACCCCAGTAACTTAACCAAACACCAGCTACCTTTCTTGCCCCTAGTCCTCTGCCTGGGTTCTAGAGACTGGTGTATCAGCAACAACAAAAGTGCTTCCTGCTCCATCTTCATATTTTCAACAGAAATTCTGTCCACCAGCCAGCTGATTGAAGTAAGATCCAACAATAATCCAGTGAACTCTGGACAACATTGGCCGTGAGCTTCTGTCCACTAAACTTTCTCAATTGTAGACTCGGTCTGAAAATTTTTCCTTTGGTTTTTAAACATTAGGTCGAGGAATTTCTGGGAGAAGTGAATTCGTAAAGGAGTTTCTGGGGGGCTTACGGGTGGATAGATAATTTGTTTCTTATGGTGGTAAGAATTATGATAATGACATTAAGATAATTAATTCTAATTCATCACATAGTTATATATAACATTAAAATGAAGTATAAAATAATAAAAGGATTACGCAATAAACATCTGGCTGTGCAAATAATTGCAGTTTATTGTAAAATCTAGATTTTAATTTACAGAATAAAAATGAAACGCCTACTAGATTCTACATTTTGTATTAAAGTCCAAAGATCATGTGTTATCAGGTTGTGTTAATTAAATTTTCAGTAATTTACATGAATATTTATGCCTTTTCTCTGATATTGGCTGTGTCACAGGCTGTTTGTTCCACACCTTACTTGTAGAATTATGTCATTTTTTTTCCTTATTTCCATTATATATTTACTTCACAGAATCACAGTCTGTAATAGTGCAGAAGGAGGCCCAGATAAGCATCATGACATCGTGCTATTCTCTTGCCCTTTCCCGATACATTAAATAATTATTTAAGTGGAAACAATACCCTCTTGAATGCCTCATTTGAGCCTGCTGCCGCCACACTTGCAGGCAATGCATTCCTGACACAAACCTCTCATTGTGTGAACAAGTCTTTTTTTCTTTCCTTATGCAATTCACTTTAGATCTGTGCCCTCTCATTCTTGATCCCTTTACCAGCAGGAACAATTTCTCCTTATCTACTCAATCCAACCATCTCATGGTTTTGAAAACTTCCAGCATATTTTCTCTTAGCCTGTTCTCTCTAAGGAGAACAGCCCTAGCCTTTTCAATCTGTCTTCATGACTGAAGTCTATCATATCTGGAATCATTCTTATAAACTTTTGGTTGGTTGTGGCAACAGGTAGTGGCATTAGGTGGTGAAATTAAATATTTTTCTCATAAGGTCTATACAGAACTCTTACTGCCTTAGAGTGTGATTTAGTATTTGATTTGATTTGATGTTGGGGAGGTGATGGCCTGTTAATCTAGAGACCCAGATAACATTCTGGGGACCTGGATTCAAATCCTGCCATGGCAAATAGTGGAATTTGAATTCAACAAATATCTGGAATCAAGAATGTAATGATGACTGCCTAGCCAGTGACGCTGTCATCCTGTGAATGAATAAAGAAAGGAAAAAATTGATTTTGGCTGTCTGCATTTGGATATTATTGCACGCAAAATGTATTGTTTAAAATCTGCTGGATTTTGCGGTGTTGTGGTCAATGCTGTATACATTTTTAGAAGATCACAAAGTGTAATGTTGTGTAATGCACAACTTTTACTCTTAAGGTGAATCTGAATTCTTCTAAGGTTACAAAACCAAAATGTTGTTACGTGTGTACAGCCTCTGGTCAATAAGAATGGTTGCTTGGTGTGAGTGCTCTGCAGCTCGCAAAAACATATATTAATTTCAGGCTATGTTAGACACTTTGAAGTTGTTTGAGCAAATCTATGGGTATATTTGATTTATTAAGTTATGGCATGGGTCATTGGTCTTGGAACACATAAACCATGGAGAGATATGGTGTACATTTTAAATGACTGATTTCTGTCTCAGATTTTGAAGTTGTAGTGATGGCAAAACTGTCAGGGTTTACTGTCATTACCAATGCCAAACTGACAGCAACTTCTTAGATTCACAAATACAATTAAATGTGAAAATCCAGAAGTTGCCATCAGTGATCCCATGCTCCTCCACATGGTGCCCTGTTGAAGTGCCCACAGACTAATCTTCAGACAGCACTTGAACTGACAGGAACATACCCTTTTGTCCTATAATATTGCTGTATAGAAACCCAAAAATGTTACACCTTAATGAATGGTGTATAATTAGGCTTTTTAACAATGCACGAAGTCAAGACTGAACACCCTCTCTGATCTGGAAAAAACAGCTATGTTATTATTGGTAGTATATCAATTCTAATAGTATTTTTTTAAAATTTGCTTGAAAATGTCTTAATCTTTATTTCTGTGTCCATTAAAATTTATAAATGAAGGATTTGCATTTTATTCCTTGGTTTTCTATCCATCAGAATTATTCAATGTGATTGACAGTTTAGTCTAATTGATATCATTATCATTCCTGAACATTTGGGAATTACTAGAGTTGGTAACAGAATCAAACTAGCATTGATAAAGGGGAAATCCACACCACAGACTGGTAGACCTGAGTTAGCTTTCTCCAGGATCAATGCTGTCATTTTACCACCTATTGTGAAATCTGTTTCTCTCATTTGTCTGCTAAAGACTGGAGCAGATTTTTTTTTGAGTTTGTTTTAAAAAATCATTCATGGGATGGTGGTACAACTGGCTGGGCCAGCAATTTTTGCCCGTCCCTAATTGCTCATGGGGCAACTAAGAATCAACCATATTGTAGCAAATCTGGAATCACATGATGGCAGTTTTTCTAAAGATGGGCTTTTACAGCAATCAACAATACTTAAATGGTGACCATTAGATCAGCTTTTTATTCCAGTTTGTTTTTTTTTTATTGACTTCAAGTTTCACCATCTGCCAGGGTGGGATTCAAACCATGTGCCCAGAACATTAGCCTGGGGCTCTAGATTATTAGTTTAGTGATATAACCGTTATGCCATTGTCACGCCATAACTCTGTGAGTAGGATATATGTAGCAAAATGGCAGTCTGTAATGGAGCATGCCTGCTTATCCATTTGTTTTAATTAATGAATAAAAGAAAACTGGGCTTCCATCTTGTTGTACCCATCTGATCTTCCCTACGTAGTCTGCCTGGGTTATTATTTTCACCCAATCCAAGAGAAAGAACAGGCTCTGCAGTGTCCAGATTAGCATTACCAAAGGTCTGGGTGCAGGATGTTTGTTTAGGATTAAAGTATGGCAAAGGTGGCATTTACATCAACTCATCAGTGACATAGTTCAATACTTGATTGTCTAGCAGTGATATGAATAATTGGGTATTAAAGCGTCAGTAAGGGAGTTAATAGGGTATTAAAGCATCTGTAATATAATAAATTGGATATTAAGGAAACAATGCCATAGATAATGGGGTATTAAAATAAATGGCCTAGACAACCGGGTATTAAAGCATCAGTTACTTAGATAAGTATTGAAGCATCAGTGATTAGCTCATCATCTAATATTACAATAAGCTATTTAAAGTATTCCCCTTAAGAGTATCCAATCAGCTAAAGCCTCTAAAATAAATTAATGCACTTAATCAAGGTTTAATTACTTCAATTAGATTAAAGTACAAAATTAGCAAACCTATACTTTAGACATTGCTATATTCTGTGCTCTTCTTTTGGACACTTGAAGATTTGTCCTTTCTGTTACAATAAACTAGGGCAGGTATGCTATTTTTATAGATATATTTAGCATTAACTTGCAAATTCATTGGGGAAAGATGTGTGAATGAGGTCAGGTTATAAATGTACACAGTTAGCAAAATTGAAGGATGAGTTCTACTAAAGCTGCCATGTGGGCTGATTTCTTGGCCGGGAGTTACACATTCAAAGATTCAGATCATGTTACAAAGTGAATGGGGATGAGAAACAAAAATGTCTGCATAACTCAGAAACAAGCCCTGAACAATACAAGCAACTTCTGCAAAGAGGCGCTTCCTATCCTGCCATTTCATTTGCTGCACTGTGAGGAAAGGTACATAATGAATAACTACATCTGGGGTCCTGGATTCGATCCCACTGTGGCAAATGGTGAAATAAAAATCTGGAATCTCGAGTTTAATAATGACCATGAAACTGTTGTTAATTGTCAGGAAAAACCTGTTTGGTTCACTAGTGTCCTTTAGGGCAGTAAACTGCTGTTCTTACCCAGTCTTGCCTACTTGTGACTCCAGACCCACAGCAATGTGGTTGATTTTTAACAATTATGAATAAATGTTGACCTAGCCAGGGATGCCCACATCCTGAGAATGAATAAAAATAAATAAATTCAGGTTAAGTTTCTGACAAACTGAAGGATGTAATTGCAAGTGTATCTGTTCACGTAAATGTCACCTCCTGTGGATCTAAGCCACATTATGTATGAATAATTGAGCTGATTAACTTTCATGCAATCTCTCTGTTGAATTTTTCCCTTTCACATGCAAGGGATAAGATTTCTGTCTGTTGGCTTTTACCTCTTCTCCTCACCATCTCATGATTAGTGTCTTGGTTTTGAAATTGGATTATATTGGGAGGTAATGAGCGGCCATGATTATTTGGAATTGGTATGGTGTCTGTGACCTTGTTATGCTTCTGGCACTTTGGTTCGCCATAAGCTAATTACGACTGCCATTAAAATTGTACACTGCCCTGAAATGTTCACTGACTCTTCAAGAAGCACCAGGGAGCAGGTTTTTAGGCATTTAATTCATGTTCACAATGTTGTTCCTTTCCATTGCATTTTGCTTTAGTTTGTCAGTTTTGAAGGCTAACGTTGGACTGTTTTGCTTCGATTTGTGATCTGTCTTCCATTTCAGTGTTTGTTGCTTTGCTGACCTCTGGTTGTTGGATTTTCTGGTTTTAAATCTATAAGGTAGCCTATAAGTTGTTTATAATGAATTACAGTACCTGGTGACAGCATTATGTCACATGTATCAAGATAGTCGGTTATTTGGCCTCAAAAGAATTTTCAATCAGTTCATTTTAGGCCAATGTTGTTTAGTTAAATTCTGCTCCCAAGATTTGAAATTCAAATTTTGAAGTATTTGAGAATGTGGATGAAAACTCAACACAGAAGGAACTGGATCCATTTAAATCCTGAGACAGTGTTCTCTGCATACCAAATCAGCTAGAGTCATTGGCAGTTTCTTAAGTCATTGCACTAAACATTTGAGCATTATAAAGGTTTCTGAGGTTAACCATCATTGGAGACCACTCCTGGGAGCAGGGTGGCTGGTTTTGTCACAAGTTCAACTTGCCATATCCTGGGGTGTGAGTTCCTTAAATGAAGGGAGTTAGATACAGCGAGGTTGGACAATAAATTAATGACATACATAGCCCACTAATAAGGATAGTGTGATGCACTTTGTTTTGTTTTAATGAGGTGTTATAAAATTTGGTATTAGTTACTGAATTTGTTCATATTATCTATAAAACGAATTAGCCTGTTGGTTCATAATTGGGCCTTGTCTCCAATGAGTGTTCAACAGCCTACCTCTCTGAGATGGAAAACCATGTATGAGATTACAATCTCCAATACACACTTCCCAGGTGAAGCTTGGGGGATGGGATATGTTAGATGGCAACTAACCCCTGCCCCACCAGGAAAGCTCAACCAATCATATGCCTATTAACTTAAGAGCCGAAACGGAATCAGAAATTACTTAGAAATTCATCGAGTCTGGCAGAATCTGTTGAGAGAAAGAGAAGCCAATGTTTCGGGTCCAGTGACCCTTCTCCAGAATATTTCTGTTTCTGTTTCGGATTTCCAGAATCCACTGTTCCTTGGGGTTTTTTAACGCAACTTAAGAGCTGACTGGCTAGCTTTGGCAATCTTGTCAACCTATTGCATACCTCAGCAGTGGCACCCTGGTTCACCAGAAGCTGGCAACCTATCAAAGACCCACAACCTCTGGGTCTTGAAGACTGTTGGTCAAGGCATACACCTAGGGAGATCAAAGAGCAAAAAGGTAGGTCTTTCCCTTTTACTTCTCAAAATGATGTGGGTCACAGGGAGGCAAAGGCCAGGATGAGTTTGAAGGGCTGGCCTACCTCACCATAGTTCCGATTGCTCACAGATTGGGGGACCTTAATTCAGTCACTCTGTCATAAAGCTAGGCATTAGGCAGTAAAGATCCACTTCTGATCATATATGATGCAAGATCAGCTTAAAGGCCAGGTGAAAAATTTGTCTTTACATCCAGTCTGTTCAGCCTGTCGGAATTTTATATATTCCACTCAGATCCCCTTTCATTCGTCTAAACTCCAGTGAACTCCTGTGCCAATCGACCCAATCGCTCCTTGTATAGCAAACATGCCCTCCCTGAAATCAGTCTGGTGAACCTTCGCTGCACTGTCTCAGTCGTAGATGGCAACAGAACTAAGCCCACTCCTGTCCTCATTTAAAGTCAGCACACATGCATTTTCTGACAGGCATCACTGGTTAGAAATCAGAAAGCAGAATACTGGCTGACCTTCTGTTGACAACTTGAAACTGAAGCGGTTTTGGTACTTCAACTGCTGGTGTAGATAAGCTCAGGTAATTCAGCAGGGATCAAACCTAGACTCTTCCAGTCCTCTGTTCCTTGAGTGATGCATTTTCCCACTAAATCTTTGTCGAAGAACATTGCCTATTAATAACTGGACTATATATGGGCTACAAGTGGGCTTTTGGTACTAAACTAATTTACCTTTTGATGTTATATTATTTTTGCCTCTTATCATTAAATTGCAGTGTGTTTGACTGCTTATCTGAATCTGAACAGAAAGTGCCCAGGGTGAATCTTGCCACTGAAAGAACTGGCCCATTTGCAAAAAAAAAATCCTGTTGTCTGTCAGTTCTGCATTGTCAGAGTTTTGGAAGAAGTTGGATGATTAGTGGGACACATCACTTTGGTGCTCCAATTGACTTAGTTTTCAACCAGAAGTATGTAATCTCACACTATAACGGTACTGACCAATCTGTAGCCAAAGTGCGGAGCACTTTCACTCATGGGTTGGGTCGAATTGTCAGAAAATTCACCCTAAGCCACTGACAAACCTGGGAACTGGTTATTCAGTAACATACATCTTGGAAGCATATGGTCATCTGTGGACCTTTTGTCTGGGAATGTTCTGTGGCTCAAGGAGACCTAAAAAGATCAATACATGACTTCAGGTGTTAAATTGTCTAATCTCACCAAGTGTTAACTTGTCTGAAAATTAGTATAATGTGTCCCATTATAAACCTCAGCATCTTAAAAAGCAATGTTTTCTTCAGTAAAAGCACTAAATGTTTTATCCAGGGCACTAATAATTTTTGCCACTGAGCACATCTATAGTGTTGTAGGCGCAAGGACAGTGATGCCACATGCCAACACTGGTTATCTGCTGGTCTCTATCAATTTGCCTTTCCTGTCTCTATGCCGGAAACCAATCATGATTTTCTATTTTTTTTGCAGGATGAACTGGCTGAAATCTGTGGGGAGCCCAATGTCTCGGATTGACAAAGCCCATTTCACAAATGAGAGAGAGATCTCCAAACTGGATTTTAATAATTTCTCAACCAGATATTAAGATGTTGCAACAACTGGTGTTTGCTGGAACTTTGCTAATATCACCTTTAATGCCATACAGCTTGGAGAGAGAGAAAGAAGGGACATTTGTTGAATGTAAGGGTTTGGAGAGTAAGGGGTGTAAGTTGCTTTCTATTGATAACCTACTTGGTTGATTTTGTTGTTTTCCCCCAATAAATTCTGAGCCTTTCCTGTCTTTTGGGTCTGGCAATCAACCTCCATGCATTTCTTTTGTCTAAAAAAATTTTATGCTGACGACATATTCTGCTCCACCAAAGTTCTTAAGCTTTCAATTCGTTCACCAGATGCTATAAGGAATTTTGTTGAGCAGAGGTGCAGTGCTCCCTTTCCCTTCAATGAAAGTTAGAGACAAATCACTCTGTCTCTCCATCCTTCATAAGACTTGTTTATTTAATTGTGGCTGCATGTAGTCCAAGTATTGGGAGTGTACAGCTCTAACTACCTCTTCACTTCAATTTTATGTTTTTTAAAGCAGAGATCAGTCACCAGTCATCTGCTGGTCACTTGTCTCTGAGGTTATTCTGGTGCCTGGTGTAATGTATGTCACTTCAGCTGTCAGGACAAGATAGGTGGCCGATTTGTATCATGAATGCTGCTGGAGAGCTGAGTCTTGCATGCTAGAATCAACAGCACCAAAATAACATAATGGTCCTTTAATAACTACTTAAAGCAACATCACTGTTAGTAATCTTTAAAGATTAGAACTTACCTGCTTTATATTTTTGTTGAAAGTTCTCACATTTGGTGTAAACTGCCTTTATTAAATAGAATTGTAAATGTAATTGTGAGGGTTGTCTGAAGTTAATAGTTTATGGGCATCATGCTGTACTTCAGTGCGGTTTGAAGGACTGTAAAATTGTTTTGTGGGCAACTTTCAGTGCAACTCTGACACTGTGCAACATATCAGCCCCTGTGAAGTGTTATGTCATTTTGAGTCCTTGCAGGTGACAGTTGAGAAATTCCAAGTTCCTCATCTGTTTTTCAACCCAGAATATCCTGTACAAGTAGAAACAAAATCCTGCAGATGCTGGATCCTTCAAACAAAAACAGAAAATGCAAGAAATATTGAACAGGTTGGGCAGCGTCTATGGAGGAAGAAACCGCTAACGTTTCAGGTTCATGAGCCTGTGTCAGAACCGGCAAAAGATAGAGATGTAATAAATTTTAAGCACATGCATTGGCAGAGAGAAGGTGTGGATAGGAGTGGGGATCCTGGCACAGTGGTAAAGTCACTGGACAAATGGTGGAATTTAGGCTCAATGAATAAAATCTAGAATTGAAAGCCAGTCCCAGAAATGGTGACCGTGAAATTATTGTTGGATGCCGTAAGTCTCCATCTGGTTCGCTAAAGGGAAGAAAATCGATCATCTTTACCCAGTCTGGCCTACATGTGACACTAAATCCACAACAGTGTGACTAAGTCTTAACTGCCCTCAAATGGCTGAGCAAGACAATCTATTCAAGGGCAATTAGGGAGCACAGGAGCAATTAGAGATGGAAAACAAATGCCAATTGTGTCAATGATCACCACTTCCTTAAAGATGGTGAGGAGCGTTTAACTAAAAATAAAGAGTAAAGTTGATCCAACAAAATGACCAGAAAAGACTGAGGGTGGTAATAAGACCAATGAAGTTTTTTTAAAAATAGAAAATGCTGGAAATACCAATTAGATCTGGTAGCATCTATGGAGAGGAGAAGAGGTTGTGCCCTTTCAGCACAACTTTTCAGTTTTCTCCATTTACATAAATCCTTTTCACACAGATTCCTTTCCCTTTTAAGGGGTGGTGGAATGAGAGTACATTAGGCAGAAGCCAGGACAGGTTTGAGATGAAGGACGTGAAAATCTTCTCAAAGATGTATGACCTAAATATCCGTTTATTTTGGAAAATGCATATGGTCTAAAATAGAATTAGAGCCTACAGAGGGAATCCCTAATTCTGCCAAATGATAAAGAAGTCCAAGACACATGAGCTGCTTGTCAGCACTTGTCGGATCGCTGCAGAAGGATTAGAATGCAAGCCCTCTCCATTAGCTCCAAACCTGAGGAAACATAGACTGTTTGCAAAAATAATCCAGCCCAGGCTGCCTCAGCTCCACTCAATAAAAGCAAAATACTACAGTTTTTGAAAATCTGACATTAGAAACAAAATGCTGCTAAGCCCAGGCTGATATTAGCCAACATTCCCTCATGCCCATTCCAGGAGAGTGCGTGCTGGTTGATTTATTTTCTACAATCTACAAATACTGGTAACATTTCAGAAGTGCTTAACTGGTATATATAAACAGACATCGCTCATTCTTTCATATTTCACTTCTGCCTGTTCTTTGCTTCCTTGCATCCACCCATCTTTTGTTCCTTCCTTCTATCTTCTTCTTTTGAAACCTTCGTAAGAGAATCGCGTAAATATCTGAAGTGGTAACATTTGCAGGGGGAAAGACAGACGAATGTGACTAAACGAATTGCTGTTGCAAAGAACCAGAATGGGCATAACGGGATGAATAATCTTCTGGATTGTAACAATTCTATAATTTGTCCATCTGTCTTTCCTTCTTTGCAAGGTACATGAAAATAGGTGCCTAGACCTGTAAAGTGTTTTTAAAATTAGCATAACCTTTAACACAAAGCAGCAGATAAACTTGGAATCTTCAAGTGTTTGAGAGTTAATACTGCAGTTGATAGCTCAGTAAATAAAAATCTATCAGGGGAACCAGTGTTACCTTTAAATTTCATAACAGAATGCATTATAATATGAACTAACCAAGAGGAGATGTGTCTATTTTACTCATTCCTTGCCTGACAGTTTTGACTGACAGCCTAGCCCCCTTGCGTTTGTTTCTCCCCTTCCCTCCAGGGTAACCTACTGTCCACACGGTTGGTTGTGAGATTCATGTTAGATCAGAACAAATCATCTCCACTTGGCATTGCCTGCTGTCCCAACAGCTTGTCTGCTATTAACCTGCAGGTGAGGAACTGTGATCTAATTACTAAAATAAGGATTGAGGCTCCATGCAGCTGCTGCATCTGACACCATTCTGTCAGCCACCGGGAACTTTCTCACCATCGGTCACTCCACAAAAAAAGACCCTTCCACCCTGAGATTAGCAGCAAAGGTGTAAGCTCTTTCTGCAGATTAATTGTAAAATAAATATAAGACAATAAAACACAGGAGCAGAAGTAGGCCAGTTAGCCTATTGGGTCTGCTCCACTATTCAATGAGATAACCTAAACTCCATCTTCCTGCCTTTTTCCCATAATCCTTGATACGTTTACTGATTAAAAATCTGTCTTTCAGAACCTCAAATATACTTAACAACTCAACCTCCGCAATCCTCTGTGGAAAAGAATTCCACAGATTCGCTACCCTGTGAAAGAAAAAAATCCTTTTTGTTTGTTTTTAAATGGGCAACCCCTTAATCTGGGATTATGTCCTTTGGTCCTAGACTCACCCACAAGGGGAATCAACACCTCTGCATCTACGCTGTCAAGTCCCCTATGAACTTTGTTTCTTTCAATAAATCTCCTCTCATTCTTCTAAATTCCAATGAGTATAAATCCAGACTAATCAACCCGTCTTCATAGGAAAATCACTTTATGCCTGGGATCAGACACATGAACCTTCTCTGGACTGTCTCCAATGCCAGTATATCCTTCCTTAGAAAAGGGAACAAAACTGTTCCCAGTATTTCAGGTGTGGTCAAACAATATACTTTGATCAAGTAATCATTTATAAGCACACCTCTTTAGTAAATACAGCGAAGTGGCTAATTGCCTAACTTTAGAATCATATGACTGTACAGCATGGTAACAGACTTTTCGGTCCAACTTGTCCATGCTGACCAGATATCCTAAATTAATCTAGTCCTATTTGCCAGCATTTGGCCTATATCCCTATAAACCCTTCCTCTTCATGTACCCGTGCAGATGCCTTTTAAATGTTGTTATTGTACTAGCCTCCACCACTTCCTCTGGCAGCTCATTCCATACACGCACCATCCTCTACTGTGAAAAGTTGCCCCTTAGATCCCTTTTAAATCTTTCCCCTATCACCTTCAACCTCTGCTCTCTAGCTTTGGACTCCATTACCCCAGCGAAAAGACCTTGGCTATTCACCCTATCTATATCCCTCATGACTTTATAAACTTGTATAAGGTCACCCCTCAGCCTCTGATGCTCCAGGGAAAATAGCCCCAGCCTATTCAAACTCTCCCTATTGCTCAAACTCTCCAACCCCGGCAACATCCTTGTAAATCTTTTCTGAACCCTTTCGAGTTTCACAGCATCCTTCCTATATCAGGGAGACCAGAATTGAATGCAGTATTCCAAAAGTGGCCTAGCCAATATCCTGTACAGCCACAACATGACCTCCAAACTCCTATACTCAATGCACTGACCAATAAAAGAGTGAAGCTAGAAAGTACCACAACCCAAAAACCCTCCTCCCATTCTCATTTTATCAAAAATGTAAATTAGAAAGATATAAAACAAAATAGGAATAACCCATAGAGTCCCTGGAACCTATATCTCAATAAGTTAATGAATGATCTTATACCTCACCTCCATATTCTTACATCGTACCCCGTGATTCCCTTCATGCCCAAAAAACCATCATGCCCTGTTTTGAATGTACTCAAATTGCTGATGATCCACAGCTGATCTGGGTAGAGGATTATAGTTCCTTAATGTTCTAATATTGAATACAATGGCAAGGGAGTCATTCCTCTATTTTGGTTTCAATTAAAAATGCATACAGCCAAATCTACAGGACCCTGCACTCACAGGATTGTGTGAACTGTCAAAGAATTTGTCACCTCCACTTCTGGCCACAATTGGAGAAAGGGGTTGGGAATGAAAAAAAGAGGTGGGGTGGGGTGATGAAATTCAGAAGCTGGCTTGGGACCTGCAAAACTAGAGTGTCAGGGCATGTTTCCGTGAATACCAAGCATATTGTGCCTCCTATCCAGAAGTCCATTCCATATTTTGATCTGTTTTTGTGTTGGGAGTTTAACACTATTTTTGCAAAATTTGTTTTCTTGCCAATTTAACCTGCACTCCCTTGCCCTACTTTCATGGCATACTTTGAAATAGTATTTAGGTTTTACTTTTTCTAGAATGTTCACTGCTTTAGATAAACTCACCTGTCATTTGCCTTCTTCCAAGATGGGATGCCCCACATTTTAAGCAATCCTTCCTCATAATTCATTCTTGTTTTGGTAGCGGGTGTGGGGGGTTGAAGGATGAGAAGAACACATTTCATATAAAATCGCATTCTGACATTGTTTTGTTTCACTCATCGAGGATCCTAACTACATCTCCTCTGCACTGCCGTTTAGTCACAGCTTGTCTAAGCTTCATCTTTCAGGTTAATTCTTATAACAGGTTTCTCCCTCCATTGTCCTGTGCACCCTTCTTCTGTTCAGAGATAAGGTTGTTTCCAGAGCTATGAAATCCAAAATAAATTATTACTGTAGATGCAGAATTGGCTGAAATTATCCAGAGAATAGGCTCCAGTTGACATCCTGGCTTGTTTTGAATGAATCCCAAAACTCATTTGCTGAAATTAGCTAACACTAAAGTTATGATGACAGATCAGAACTCTCATGTATTTATAGACATTTTTACTTGTTTTTAAAAAAAGCCTTCGCAATTACAAGTTCAATGACTGCCTGAAAAACCCTGTGTAAAGCCAATGGACTGTCACACTTGTAAAGTGTCAGGGAAACTTCAAACAGGGGGAAACTTAATAATGAGAGCGCTGACTATTCCCCTCTCAGCAGGCAGCCA